GGGGTGTTTAACGTGAATCAACCCGATTCGGGTGTGGACCCATTAGGGAAGGAAGGCTGAACACAGACGTGTGTGTTGGTGGAGAGGATGAATTGCTCACGGTTACACTTGATTAAGTCATTCACCAGACTGGTACCACCAGAACAACTCCACCGTTCCTCAGAATACCAAACTGGCATCAATTAGCAAGCCCTCTTGATTGCAAGTCCACCACAAAGAGCATCCACTACATGGGGATGTTTCTGGATCTACATTTAAGATATTAGACATTTTTGGGCTACAAATCGCAAAACTGTCGCGTGAGTGCGCAGACACCAGCCGGTCTTGTGACCCCAGATTCTTTTCTGCATGTATTGCTCCTTTTTACTACCTGCATCTACGTCGCATTGCAAATTTCCCACATTCACCACAACGCAGCGGTTGGTTTAATGTGCCTTGACTTGACTTGACTTTACGCAAACCTCCGAAGTCCCAATGAAGCGACCGCGCATTTCCCGTTCCCCACACCTTGACCCATGTGCATGTCCACTTTGATGGATTTGACATACCTAACTAAACACAGACAAAAACAGCCTCTGGCTGCGAATTTTTATGGAACCTTATCGACAACACCTCTGCGAACCCCTAGGTCGTCCCTCAACCCACAGAAACGCACTCCAAACAGGGGACTTATATTAAATTTGATGCAGTCAAACAAAACAGAGGCGTGGGTGGGTGAGCGGGTCACGGATTAACCCCCACATCATGGGGGGGGGTGGTGGGTCGAACAGGCTGTCGCGCACAAAATACTGATTGTACCCTGCCAAACACTAATTACAATAACTACAATTGTAATAATAATAATAAAATAATGATGCATGAAAGTAAAATTGAGAATAATCGAAAAATACACAACACGCAAGATAACACTAGGGCCGCAGTGGCGCCAGCACATCTCATGCCAGTGGGGCGGTGCGGAGTTTCAGGGGATAGCGACGACAACGGCGACGCTGACCGCGGCTCGCCTTCGGCTCGGAATCGTCCTCCTCCGAGCTGGCACCGTCCGAGTCGTCTGTGGAAACCGGACCGTTGGACTGGATTTGAGGGTAGAAGGCGTCTGGTCGAAGTGCATCGTGCATCTCCGAATGGGTTGTCACATTGTACGGCATATGACCGTGCTAAAAACAGAGGTCAAATGGTAGTTCATCCTCTCCACCAACACACACGTCTGTGTTCAGCCTTCCTTCCCTAATGGGTCCACACCCGAATCGGGTTGATTCACGTTAAACACCCCGGCCGTCGAAGCCCCACTCACATGTCCCCCCTTTCCACATTGTCCGACTTTTAGTCCTGTTTCTACCACACCCCTCAGCCCAGTTTTCAATCCATACACTAGCCTTTTTTCGGCCAGGATTTGCTCTGCTAACTTTCGCCTAACTCAATCACGGATCGTCTTTGGCCCCAGTCACCGCCG